ACTACTATAACAAGGGGGTCAAGGCTGCTGTCTGGATTGATGTATGGTCTAAATTCTAACTATTCGGGACAGTATGCATTTGTACAATGGTTTGACTAATAGGCTCTAGGGTTATCATCCGAGGGTCAAGTAATTTCTCCGACAATAACGAATAAATTTTGCAGCTTCGAGCATGCATTCTTTAGGCAAATATTTAAAATAATTCGTAAGTTATCAATTTGTAAATTTATTTGCTAGACTATTATATTTCATCCTGTGGGGTGTGCGATAGACTTACCTCCACGTGGTGCACCCTGGGCAACGTATACTCATACGGCAAAAAGGTCTATTAACTGGCAGTTGACTTCTGACTTCAAACTACCATCACCTCACTTTATGTCATATTCGACTACTACCACAGTACTCACATCATCTTTTTTCTACCTTCGTGTCTGTCTCTTTTACGTCTCTGAAACACTGTTCTGTTCCCCCAACCAACTCGACTTTTTTCACTTTGGTATTCCATCCCCTCTGTGAAGCCTGAAGTCAACTAAAGGGCTAATGATAACTGTCAAAACGCCTGCCATTTGATATAAATAAATAAATAAATATTTCATGCTGTTCATCCAAGTGAAATATTGCTTTACGAATCGTAAGAGAAGATTTATATTGTGGGGTCTAGCATATATTGTATCTCATTGATAAACAATATTTGTATCGAGGGGATTGTATTTATGTGCTTAATTGATATTACGGCATCAAATCTAAAATATATCACAGGTTGTTCGTTACGTCTGTAGACTACTATTTCAAATTCCTATATGCAGATTTTGTTTAAATTAATGTCACTGCATTGTTGATCCAGCGACCAGGTTCATGAACGTAAGTAAAGGGTATAGGGCCTGGGATGCCCCTTTCTGTTGTCTCCTGTCGTGATTTATTTGGCGTCCTAACTATTACAAGTATTTTTACAACATTCCTTCCTAAAATATACACATTTTATAAGTAGGCTTTATTCTTATTGGCATTGCTTGTCAAATAAAGTAGGAAGGAGAACAGTAAATCATTATTAAATTTTTTCAGTCTCAATGATTCGAATTCTTGAAGTGCTCTTTGCAAAAGTAGGCAAACTTAAACAAATAAGCACTTCAACTCAATTGTCTGTTGCATTTGTTTACTAGTAATTTCAACGAGTTGACTTTTTAGAAATATTAATTCGACCCAAGGAGATTTTAGGTTACGTTAGCAGACAACGTAACCTTCTCCGTCGATTGTGCTGAGGGAATAAAGTTTCAAATTATTCCAACATCAAAATTTTATATGAATTAGGGAGATCGGTTCAAGGTGATCGTTAAGTCTCAATTTAAGACTTCACTTTGTGCCTTTATTTCTCTTTGGACTTAGTGCTTTCTACCAATTGTTAATAGCGTATACATTTCTTTGTTATTTGTTGGTTGACCATTTGTTAGTAAATTCCTCCTCAATTTCGAAAGCAAATTTCGAGCCATAATTTCTTACAACGTATCTTCACTGCTTGTTTTTCTTCCCGATGAAATCTGCTAATTCTACCTTTCCTTAATTCATGGCTGCTACGTTCTTACATCTGGATAAGAATGTAAATGAATTTAAACATTGGTTAAGTGAGTTGAACAAATTTAATAATGCCTATTATTTACTCGATCTCATGACAGTGGAAAAAATTTTATTCGTGTGGGAATATTCAATCGCGTGGGGACCATTGATAATCTTCTGGATTTGTGTTCAAATTTATTTTTTTATCCCTCTTCAATCCCATGCAATTGCTTTTAAAAGGTAAAACTTTCAGCAATTTTTTTAAATTTATGAGAAAATTGAATCCTGAAAAGCACATCTTGTGGTTTGCCGAATGCTAATTCAACTTTAATTTCATTTAATTTAAAAATTTTGATCTCCTCTCTCTAACTTTTCAGAATGCGACCTCGCTTTTGTCAGGAGGATCGTTCTGACATTCAGTTTTTCATTGGCTATTAACTACTAGGCTTAAATCTTGTTTTATTTATACCAAAGCATATTTTCAATACCGTGTTGGATCCTGGAATTGGTTTGAGACTTACACTATTTCCTTAGTGATTTGGTTCAAGAAGATTTAGGTTTCAGAATGTTATCTCGTGAAATAGTGTTTTAAAATACTATATCAACCTAAGCATTTTTATCTTTATAATTATTTGTCATGAATTCGAACAAGTTGATTATCTCGTGCCATTGAGTCCAATTTGACTAAAGCCTTTAAATATTTTTAGAAGCTTGCTAGCGAATATGGCATTCTGATTTATGGCACGCCTGTCTCTGAACTAATGCTGGCCTCTAATTCGATGTGTAATAAAGTATTTTGTTTCAAATGGCAGGCTTTATGATATTTATCTTTAGCCCTTAAACTTTGACTTCAGCTTCCCCCAAAGTAAACATACTGGAGATGGTATCTACACTACTGCAAAAAATCCACAACAGTTGCCAAAGGGAACCAAAACGATGGCTCACATCGAATCACAGGCATGACTAATGTGTAAAGACGTTGAAGGAATCTTCGGTCTGGTCAGACTAGTGTGACTAAGGCAGCCGACAGTGTAATTTCTCAACTCTTAAAAATCGCAGAGTAATTCAAGCGAAAGCGATGACGTAACGCCGGTTACAATATGTGAATGTTCTCAGGGTAGAAAGCAGAACACTAGTTCGTGCTGTTAAAAGAATTTCAATTTCGACACACCAAGCCCCCATCCCCCGCACTTCCACCAATTTATTTCGTCACAGCAACCACCATATGCCCGATTGTCTTATTAGTGTAGAGTACAAAATCTGTAAAAACAAGCAAATATAAGTTTAATGTGTATGGAAAAAGTGCTGGTAATCAATGCAGTCTATCTCAAACCGAGATTACTGTTTCTCCTAAGTTATTAAATCCACTCTTAGTAGAATGCAGTCATGGTCATCAGTAGATCCTTTAATCTCAGTCAATGATTTAAACTATATTTCAGACCTCCCGGACGCCAATGTTCACCTTAGTGATTCTGCCTTGGCAGGACTTGCCAGTGTTGAGAACTTCTCATCCACTAAGGAACGCCTTCGAATTGTTGCTCAAGAAAAGCAAGCTCCTCTTGCCTCCTTTCAACGAAGTCTTCTTCCACATAAAGATGTAATGCTCCTGCTTATTAAAGGTACTTTTCCATAATTCTCTTACGATTGAATGCCCAAGATTCCACGTGCAAATCTTTCATTTGTTTCAGGTCGTCGACAAGTGCAAACTCGACTGGTGGCACCTGTAGCAGCCTCTATCAATTCTGGAGATTGTTTTCTCCTAATCATACCAGAAACAAACTCCCTTTACGCCTGGATTGGCGTGGGCGCCAATGTGATTGAGAACAATAAAGTTCGCGATATTGCAGGGTGGATTGTAAAAACGCATGATATGGGTTTCCCCACTGGTAATAAAGAACCCTCTCTTGTTATTATTGAAGAGGATAAAGCGAACAATGTGTGCAGTGATCATCTAACTGCTTTCTACAAGGCTCTAGGCACTTCTACCGAAGACTTCAAGGCTTCTCGTAGGTTGGATTTGAATTTATATTCAGTAATTGGTAATTTTAGCTGCCGGACCACAAGATGAAGATCTCATTTTTGAAGCCGTAGTTCAACACACCAACTGTATCTTTGAAGTCTATGAGGACCACTTAGAACCCCTCTCTGATTACTGGGGAACACCTCTACGTCATTCAATGCTCTCTTCCTCAAAGGTAGAGTTTCATAGACAAGTTTCTAACTACAATTTACCCGAGATTGTTCACATCCTGTTTACCTTTTCTTTTCCACTATCAGGCCTTTGTGTTTGATTTTGGTTCAGAGGTCTATTTATGGACTGGGAATCAAATATCTTCAAAAATCAGGGCCGCCGGTATTGAACTGGTTCAGCAACTCTATGCTGAGCCTTATAATTACTCAGTGTGCAATATAAACCCTCTCAATCCTTTCAACGGTACGTTTTTTCATCATGCCTTCACGAACTGATGAATTTCCAACTTTGGTATTTGTCTCGATTCCGAAATCACTAATTTGTTTATTCAAGAGAAGTAATTGGCGTACATTGGCATTAAGTTTCCATCCTTCATTAGTATGGAAGATTTCACTGGATTTCAAGTCTTTATTGATTTTGGCCATAAATAGTATTTAGGCATTATTCGTCTGGTTTATTCATATAGCCTTAACGATTTTTATGGGAGGGTAAGAATGATAAAAGGAATAGGCATGTTTCCAGTAAAAGCGTTAAATGCCAACATTTATCAAAATGTAATATGAAGCTATGCCCTAGTAAGTATGCTCAAAAGGGAGACAATATATTTGTGGTTCGTTGGTATTACAGTCTCCGGAACTTAAATTTGACAAGGCTGAGTTGTTCACTTATCATAAGCCCAAAGATATTCTACCAACTTGTAGGTTCAATGTCTAATATTTGGCTTTAATATGAGCAGTGTGAAAAGGGTAGTCTCAAAGCCACTGACCGAAATATGACGACTAAGACGACAGAAGGGGAACTGAGAAGTGGAAGATCTGATGATCTTGGAGTTCGGATAAAATAGGCTCCTTCTTACTGGTTAATACACCTATCGAAAGCTAACTATTTTTCTAAACCCTATGTGCATATTTGTTCTGTTCTGTTTAAAAATTGATAGATAAGCAAAGGGAAATTCTGTAAGCAAATCTTCGATTAGATTTGATATCAAACACACCTAAGTTAATCCAATTTGTCAAAAATTAGTTTACATTCCTATTTCTAGCTAACTGCTTTCGCAAATTAAGAATGACAGACATTTAAATTAAACTGCTAAAGTACATATGAAATATGAATGTAAACTTTTAAAAATATAGGAATGAATCGAGGAGAAAAATTTTCAATATGTTGAACTTATTTTCATTTAGCCGTTGACTGTCCGAACTCTGGAACGGCTCGACCAGAATGGACTCTGGTGGCCAAAGTTCCCGAGCGAGGGGAAACTGTTCTTTTCAAAGAGAAATTTATCGATTGGCCGGAGGGATCACGATTCGTACAGGTCTCCCGTCAGCTCTCTGGCAAGGTGCGTTGTCTAATTTGGGTCTGGTTCAAGCTTTACAAAGCTCTTCTCACAGATAATTTCAATAATATTACTAGATGTTTTGGTTAAAACAAATAGTATGCAATATAATAAACGGATAAATAGATGTATTTATTTATTTATTTTTATCAAATGTCAGGCGTTTTGATAGTTATCATTAGCTCTTTAGTTGACTTCAAGCTTCACAGAGGGGAAGGAACATCAAAGCGAAAAAAGTCGAGAGAGGGGGGAACAGAAGAGTGTTTCAAAGACGAAGGTAGAAAAAAGGTGAGGTGAATACTGTGGAAGGAGTCGAAAATGGCATACAGTGGGGTGATGGTAGTTTAAAGTCAGAAGTCAGGTGCCGGTTAATAGACTTTTTGTCGTATGAGTATACGTTGCCCATGATGCACCACGTGGAGGTAAGTCTATTGCGCACCCCGATAAATAGATGTATATCTGTAGGAAAGTCAGGATTTAGGATAGTTACTTCTTTTTTAGTCCGAAGAACCTATGGTGATTTTTTTTCAAATGAACTTTAGAAGAAACTCGCATTGAACCTGATGTCAACATTGACAATGACATTATGGTATGTGACATATCAACCACCCATGTGTTTTACGAAACTTCAAGCAAACTAAAGTTAGACATGGTCAGTTCAATACCCCTGAGCTGGCCTTATTTGTAGTACAAATAGATCTAGAATGTGGGGGGGGGGTTACAAGCTTTGTTGCTAATTCAGTTGTTCATAGAGCGACTGCTACTCAGATTCTAGGAAGAGCAAGGAAGACGACTTGTATCTCTAACAGCGATCAACTGCTGAGAAATTTATTTATTTCAAATGGCAGGCTTTATGATATTT